GAAGAAATAGGAAGAGGTGGTGCTGGAATTGTGTACAGAGGAGAGTTGCCTGACCATCGCATTGCTGCAATCAAGCGTCTACATGAAGCCGGCCAAGGAGAAGCACAGTTCCTCACGGAAGTAAGAATAATTTCAGGGCTAAATCACATGAACTTGATAGAAATGTGGGGGTATTGTGCAGAAGGAAAGCACAGGCTTTTGGTTTTCGAGTACATGGAGCATGGATCTTTAGCAGATAATCTGTCGAAAAATTCACTCAACTGGTCAACAAGGTTCGAAATTGCGGTTGGCACTGCGAAATGTTTGGCTTATTTGCATGAAGAATGTTTGGAATGGATTCTACACTGTGATATTAAGCCACAGAACATACTCTTGGATTCCAATTTCCAACCAAAGGTAGCAGATTTTGGCCTGTCTAAGCTGCTAAACCGAGGTGGTCTCAATAGCTCAGGTTTCTCCAGGATAAGAGGAACAAGAGGCTACATGGCCCCTGAGTGGGTGTGCAATCTTCCAATTACCTCTAAAGTTGATGTGTATAGCTATGGAATCTTGGTTTTGGAGATGGTGAACGGAAAGAGCTTGAATGGAGCTCAAATTGTCGACAATGGAGATCTGGAGCAGGGGAGGTTTGTCCCATGGCTGAGGGAGAATGTAACTGGAGCAACTTCGGGAGAGACATGGGTTGAAGAGGTTGCAGGTCCCACGTTGGCCTCCAATTCTGACATTGATAAGATGAAACTTCTGGTTAAAGTGGCCTTGCAATGTGTGGAAGGAAACATGGATGCAAGACCTACCATGAGACAAGTTGTGGAGATGCTTTCATTCAATGAGGATGACATTTCATTCTAGTGCTTGTGTAGTGGTTATTTTTTTTAGCGAACAGTTAATTTTGTGATTTCTATCCTCAAATTCTGTTAAAGCATATCCTCCAATTTTTTGCATTTTATACCTAAATATTTTATGAATAAATTTGTTACAATAATGTAAAATTTTCAATCCATGGCCATTTTTTTAAATAAAATTTTATTAGTATATGAAAACCATTAGGGTGTAGACTAACTTGAATAAAGTAATACACAGGAAGTATTATACTCATGAAATTCATGAAAACATAAAATTAAATAATTTGACACTTATATAAATATCACATAATTAGATCAAGTTTGAAATTTAACAGTTAAGTTGTATTTCAATATTTTTATTGAAAGTCAAACTTTTTTGTTAAATTAAAATACAAGGGACACTCTTGCTTATATATATATATATATATATTATATTTTACCATCACTTTAAACTAAACTTTTATTGTTCTAGCACACAAGCCGAGTTTTGACATTTTTCACCTAAATAAAAGATAAATTGTTGAGGCAAAAAAATTTAGTTAAGGGTCCATCCCTAATCATGTCTTTAACAATCAAAATAAAAATAACAATTGATTTGAGTCCAATCAATATTATATTCAAGTTGCTCTCCTCTTTTTATAAGAGCAAATTTCCATAAAAAGTACTGGAAAAGTTAAGCCAAAAACTAAGATTAACAGGGGCACAGCCAGATCGATACTGGAGTTCAGTTACATTGTCAGTTTTTCATAGTTTTGTAAAAACTAAAATAGAACAATTAAAAAGGACAAAGGAATATATATTTTCATAAAAGTATTTTTTAAGTGCATCTGTATAAAACGAAAATGCAGAAATGAATCAACAGTTATTTAAATAAAAGATTATTGTTTGT